GGGGAAAAAATAAGAACCAAGATGCATTATGTAAAGGTACAATTCCCAATAAGAAATGTAATTGTGTTGTATACCTACAATGTACCAATAAAAGAATTTAATTTAAATAATTAATTAATTAATTAATTTTTAAAAAAAACACCTTGTGCTTCAACCTCCTGAGTGCTGGGATTACAGGTATGGCAGACCACCCTGACCAAAGTCAGACCAGGCTGTCATGAGGAGCAGACATTTTTCTCCCATAATTGGCTATAAAGTTTTTGGAGCTGGGCCCAAGCCTGTGACTCACAGGAGCTTGTCTAATAATGCTGTGAGCTAGTACAGCTTCCATGCCAATAGCTGCCATGGAGATCTAAGTCCTGATTTGTGAAGTTGCAGCACTCCTAGTGAGGTAACACTGCAGCCAAGGAACATGTGGCTCCAATCCACATTCCATCCCCAGAGCTGCCCATTGCTTAACTGTTTTCAGTAACTTTCTAGTTAACCATAACCCACCTTTGGTCAGTTCTGCTCCTTCTGCAAGAATGCCTAATCCTCCTTTCTATAAGCCTTGCCTGTGTCAGCTGATATCATAGGATGCCACAAATCGCTCTACCCAATTCTTACTCATAGCTGTCAATAAATACCAATGGACCCTACTGATTGTGGTCCTTGCCACATGCCCAGCTGCATCACCACGTATTTGGTGTGGCCCACTCCAGTTCCCCACTACCTGTTTAAGTCTTGTTTCTGTATCTTTCTTTTGCCTTGCATCATATTGCCTTGTAAGAGATCAAGACTCTTGGCCAGGGCCTCAATAACAGGCTCAATAACAACCTTGCTTCCCTGCTTTCTTACAGTAGGGATTTCATTTAGTTATTTTGCTTATTGGCTGCCCCTATTGAAGTTTTTATTGTGATGATTTGTTTTTGTTTTGTTTTGTATTATTTGAAGCAGGGTCTTGCTATGTAGTTCAGGCTGATCTGGAGCTCATTATGTAGCTTAGACTGTCCTCAAACTCATGGCTTCAGCCTCCCTAGTAGTGGGATAACAACCTACTAAAGTTTAAGATCAACAAGAGCAGAGATTTTTGCCTGTCTTGTATACTAGTATATTCCCAATGTTTAGAATACCATCCAAAAGAAAGAAAATCGCAGCTACTGTCCAATAGAAATAGAGTGGAAGCTTGTTACAGTTGTATGATTGTGTCAACTTGAGTAAGAGAAGCCCAACTAAATTGGCTTGGCAATTCCACACAGCTTATCACTTGGTGTAGGGGAGAAATGAAGGACAGATGTGCTTCTGTTCCTTTGGAGGAGCTCCAGTCTTTGCTTTCACCTTGGGTGTCATCTCCTGGCTTCTAATGCAGACTCTTCAGCTTCCATCACAGATCCTTCAGCCTCCTGGTGAAGACCTATCAGCCTCGATGTAGATTTGCATGGTACACTGCAGTGAGCTCCAGATCTTTGACGCTAACCTTCTGTCTCCAGTGTGCAGACAGGCCCTCTGCACTATTCTACATCCGACTCTGTGGGTGGCCTTTGTAAGCCAATCTTGTAATTTCTTATATACTTGTACATTCTGTGTTATGTCTGTTTCTCTAGTACACACTAACTGATACAGACTTTGGCACCAAGAGTGGCTCTAGAGAAACAGAATTGTAAAAGTGAAATGTTCAGTGGTTTTAGGGGTTCCTGGAGTCAGCTCTCTAATTTGATGAAACCTACAGATGCCATGGTCTCTCCAATTCTCTGGAGAACACTGATAGTCCTTGGTGTGGACTGTTTAAAGTGATATGCAATGTAGATCCATTTAATTATCCTAATTCACCACTTATGAGACGTAAGGAATTTAGTGACCCTGTACATGAAAACTTTGAATATTTTTGAATATATTTTGGGAAATACAAGGATGAGGTTTTTGACTGGCTAGTCTTGGCATCTCCAGAAAAACTAGTGAAGAAAAACAATGAGCTCAAAACATCCAAAAGAAATCTAAAGTCTTCTATGAGGGAAAATTAATAAAGGAAAACAAGGAGCTCAAAGATTCAAATTCCCAGTTCCAGACACAAATAAGATATTTAAAAGTTTCTAAGTGTGTCCTGAAAGAAAACCTCTCTTTTAGCTGCAAGGCTGAGATTGCAGAATCCTAAACACAGGCCCTCATAATTCAATTGGCTGAACTACAATGTAAATTTAATGCTCAGCCTCAAAGGGAATCTTAAGCAAAAGTGAGGGCACTGACTGGAAAAGAACAGGATCCCATAAACTGGGATGGAGATGTTTGGGAGGATCGTGATGAAGCAGAGGATGTTCAGTTTCTAGATACTAATGAGATTATTTTGCCAGAGGAAGAAGTTTCTCCACCCGCAGTGGCTGAGGCATCCCCACCCCCCACCCCATGGTGTTGGCCTCTTCCAGTATACCTGAAGAAACTAATCCTGTGTTGAACAAGCAACATAATGCTGACACTCCTCAGGACCCACCCTCACCACCCGCTTTTGCCTCTAAACTCACAGAAGGTTCCTAAGGATGAGATACGTAGTGTGACCCACGAGGAGGTCTGATGTTCTCCCAAAGAATTTCTTGAGTTTTCTAACTCTTATAAGCAGAGGCCTGATGAGCAAGTCTGAGAATGGATTCTACAAGTGTGACATAATGGTGGCAAAAACATACACCTGGATCACACTGAGTTTGTTGATTTAAGCCAGTTAAGCAGAGATTCTGAATTAACGTTGCAGCTCGTAGAGTAAAAAAAAGATGTTAATAGTTTATTTAGCTGGTTGGCAGAAGAATGGATCAAAAGATGCCCCCCGGTGAATGAGTAGAGGTCCCTGCTATTCCATGGTTACTGTTGATGAAGGGATTCAGAAGCTTAAGGAAATGAGAATGCTGGAGTGTTTAACCTAGTTCTCCACACTGGGTTGATCCAGAAAATTTCACTACACCTTAAGAGACAGAATCATAAGGAGAGCAGCCCCATAGAGCCCTGTTATTGCTCTTCTTTCTATACCAGACCTTACAGTGGGGTCCATGGTTACTCAATTGGGAAATTTCAGAGCAATGGGCTTCATTGGATCCCGGAGTAGCAGAGGTCAAGTGGCAGCACTTAATCACCAAAGACTGGGTGCATGTACTTACCAGAAAGGACAGAAGCAGAACAATGGCCAGAATGGGCTGACATGTGTAGACCTACAGCACTGGCTGCTCAGCCACAGTGTTCCCAAAAGTGAAATAAATGGGAAGCATACAAAATTTTTACTAGATTTATATAATCAAAAAATTTAAGGGCAAATGAACAGAAACCTACTTCAAATCATTGAAACCAAGAAGCATGGCCCCTCAACCAGTTCCCATATTTGAGCCACCTTACACATCCAGAACCCTTTGAATGAAGGGAAGGCCAGGTCCCCTTGGAGAAGGATCCTGATGCACCAAAAATTTGTGCATTCAATCTTTCTCCCGTTCTTCTCCAGAGGGACTTAAGGCCTTACCTAATGACTTGGAAAGCTGCTAGTTTTGAGTGGGGCCCAGAATGAGAAAAGGCTCTGCAACAGGTTCAGGCTGTTGTGCAGGCTGCTCTGCCACTGCAGCCATATGATCCAGCAGATCCAATGGTACTTGAAGTGTCAGTGACAGGAAGAGATGCTATCTGGAATCTGTGGCAAGCCCCCATAGGTGAATTGCAACAGAAGCCTTTAGGATTTTGCAGCAAGGTTCTGCCATCATCTGCAGACAACTACTCTCCCTTTGAAAAACAGGTCTTAAAAGAAAAGAAAAGCAGGTCTTGGCCTGCTCCTGGGCCTTAGCGGAAACTGAACACTTGACCATGGGACACAAGGTCACCATGCAACCTGAGTTGCCTATCATAAGCTGGGTATTATCTGATCCACCCAGTCATAAGATTGCACATGCACAGCAACAGTCTATCATTACTGTGAGGGTTTTTTTTTTTTTTTGGTATTGGGGATCGAACTCGGGACCTTGTGCTTGCGAGGCGGGCGCCGGAATCACTGAGCTAAATCCCTGGCCCAACAGTCTATTATTAAATGGAAATGGTAGATATGTGATGAGCCACAGCAGGTCCAGAAGGTACAAGTAAATTACATGAGGAAGTTGCCCTGACATCTATGGCTTCATGGGGTATACCATATGATCAGCTGTCAGAGGAAGAGCAAGCTAGGGGCTGGTTTATGGACGGTTCTGCACGCTAAACAGACACCACCAGCAAGTGGACAACTGCAGCATTAGAACCCTTTTCCAGGACATCCCTGAAAGATAGTGTTGAAGGAAAAGTGTCACAGTGGGCAGAACCTCATGCAGTGCACCTGGTAATACATTTTGCCTGGAAGAAGAAATGGCCAGATGTGCGACTATATAACTAATTCATGGGCTGTAGCCAATGGCCTGACTGAATGGTAAGGAACTTGGAAGGAACATAACTCAAAAATTGGTGACAAAGATATCTGGAGAAGAGGTCTGTGAATAGACCTCTCCCTACGGACAAAGGATGTAAAAAATATTTGTTCCCCATGTAAGTGCTCACCAAAAGGTGACCTCAGCAGAAGAGAACTTTAATAATCAAGTGGATAAGATGACTTGTTCTGTAAATAGTGGTCAACCTCCTCCTTTAGCTACCCCTGTCATTGCCCAATGGGCTTATGAACAGAAAGGCCATGGTGGCAGGGATGGAGGTTATGTATGCATGGGCTCAGAAACACAGACTCCCACCCACCAAGGCTCATGTGGCTACAGCCACTGTTGAATGCTCAACATGCTAGCAGCAGAGACCAACACTGAGTCCCTGATATGGCACCATTCTTCAGGGTGATCAACCTGTGACCTGCTGGCAGGTTGATTATATTGGACCAATTCCATCATGGAAGGGACTGTGCTTTGTCCTTACTGGCATAGACAGTTATTACGGATATAGATTTGCCTTCCCTGCACCTAATGCTTCTGCCAAAACTACCATCTGTGGACTAAGAATGCCTTATCCACTGTCATGAAATTCTACATTGCATTGCCTCTAACCAAGGAACACATTTTACACCCAAAGAAGTGAGGCAATGGGCTCAAGCTCATGGAATTCACTGGTCTTACCAAGTTCCTCATCATCCAGAAGTAGCTGGATTGATAGAAAGTTGGAAATAGTCTTTTGAAGACACAGTTACAGCACCACCTAGGTGGCAGTAGCTTTCAGGGCTGAGACAAGTGGGTTGTATAGGCTTTGAATCAGCATTCTCTATATAGTACTGTGTCTCCCATAGCCAGGATTTGTGGGTCCAGGAATCAAGGGACAGAAGTGGGAATGTACCACTCACCATTACCCCCAGTAATCCACTACCAAAATTTTTGCTTCCTGTTCCCAAGACCTTATGTTCTGCTGGCTTAATAGTCTTAGTTCCAGATGGGGGAAAAACTTGTACCAGAAAGCACAATGATACCATTGAACTAGAAGTTAAGACTTCCCCTGGTCATTTTGATCTCCTCATGCCTCTGAGAAAACAAGCTAAAAAAGGAGTCACAGTGTTGTCAGGGGGTGCAGACTATCAAAGGGAAATTGGACTATTACTCCACAATGGAGGAAAAGAAGAATACACTTGGAGTGAAGGAGATCTCTTAGGTTGCCTCCTAGTATTACTACGCCCTGTTGTTATTATTAAAGTCAATAGGAAACTACAATAACTTAATTCAGGATGAATAACAAATGGTCCAGAACCTTCAGGAATGAAGGTATGGGTCACTCCACCAGGGGAAAAACCAAAATCTGAGGTGCTTGCTAAAAGCCAAGGGAATACAGAATGGGTAGTAGAATATAATTCTAAATACCAGCTATGATCCCTTGATCAGCTATGTAAATGAGGATTGCAATTGTACTAGTTCTCTCCTAATATGATTCTAATGTAATATAATGTTGATAGAATTAATACTAGTTCTTAAGGATTGTTAAACCTATGTTATAATGTTAATTTATGAAATGTTAAGAGTAAGCATCACCCAAAGAAAAGTTGCCTTCTATTCTGGGGAGGGAACTAGTGTATTTCCATTTGTACACAGGAAAGTTATAACATGTTAGGTATAATTATGTGCTGGTCTTTGTATCTAGAGACTGTATCTTTGTATCTAAAGAAATGAGTCTGGTTGTCAGTTGACAAGGGGTGGACTGTGAGGATTGTTTGATTGTGTCAACTTGAGTAAGAGAAATTCAACTAAATTAGCTCAGCAATTCCACACTCTGGGGTGTTCAAGACCCACCCTAGGGTGTCTTGTCACCTGGATGGTATAAAGGGGAAATGAAGGACAAAAGTGCTTCTGTTTCTTTGGAGGAACTCCAGTCTTCACCTTCACTTTGGACATCATCTCCTGGCTTCCAGTACAGACTCTTCAGCTTCCAGGACAGGTCCTTCAGTCTTCCAACATAGACTCATCAGCCTTCCATTGCAGATCCATCGGCCTCCTGATACACAGAACACTGTAGTGAGCTCCAGATCTTTGACTAAATCCTTTGTTCTCTGTAAGGAACAGGGAAAGGGGACGTTACTAGAACTTCTACAGTGAGTCCTAGTCTCCTGTGAGCCATGACAGCATAAGTCAAATTAATTAATATACAGACAGAAAATGAGACTAGAGAAGAAGCTGAGCTTTGGCCTGGTCAATGCTGCTCTGGGCAGCAAAAGACCCCAGACCCCGAGCTTGCCATGCCTATATTCAGAACATCAGCAGAAACAAAAGTAGCAAATGACTCAGAAAATATGGGATGATCCTAGAACTATGGAACTATGCAGATGAAGATTTGGTTCCTCCCAGGATGTCTCCAGCTGGTGTAATCCTGCCCTAGAGTATCACAGCATCACAGGACCATTGAGGTCTTAGCTGTGACCGGAGATGAAAACCGAATTAGGTCTCGACATGCTGGCCTGTAGCCAGGAAAACTAGGCCCTAATCATGATTTAATTATGAAATGATTTTTCCCCCAAAATCATATAGAATTTCTCCCAACAGTTCTCCAGTGTGCAAAGAGAAATTCTGCATTCTTTCATATCCAATTTTGTGGGTGGCCAGGCTGCCCTCCCATTCACTGTGATCCCCCTTCCTCAGCCTCCAGAGTGCTGGGATTACAGGCATGCACCACCATGCCCAGCTCAACCTTGATTTTTCTTTTTTCTTTTTTTTTCCCCAAATATACCAAAATCTATGGGACACAATGAATGAGGAAGCTTATTGCTGAAAACACACACATAGTGCAATCACAAATAAAGAACTTAATGATGCATTTCAAGGTCCTAGAAAAACAAGAACAATCCTAATCTGAGACTAACGGAAAGAAATTATGAAGATCAGAGCAGAAATGAATGAAATTAAGACAATGCAAAGATCAATGTATCAAAGAGTAGGTTCTTTGATAGGATGGGAAGGGGATCTGGAGATACAGGGAAGGTAGAAGAAGTAAAAGGGTCAAGATGTAATATGTATATTTACCATTCCCCATGATGAATTTATTTACTATGTATCACAAACATATACTAATAAAAAATTTGAGGGAAAAGTGTACCCTTAAATCCTCTTCTATCCCTATACTTCCCCATATTTTCTGGTGGATGATTGTTTAAAGAACACATTATTTTACTAAGGTGACAATGACTTTTCACAGTAAATACCAGATATAATCAGGGAAAACTTATAGATACTATCTCATGCCACACAATACCACCTGGCAAACTCATAGTGATTTATTCAGGCTTTGAAGCTCGCTCAAGTTCTACTTCAAAGTTCATAAGCACTGCCAGTGCCAGTTTGGGGCCAGATCTATTTATCCCTTGATCTCTGAGGAAGCAGAGTTCTTTATACATAAACTCTGAGCTCAGCTTTCACAGCTCAAATAGAAGTATCCTCTTTACATGTACACAAAACCAACTCAGAGTTTATCTGTATTTTGTTCAGAGAATACTTCTAAAATAATCTGTCCATGGCCAGATACTGCCAACATCTCTGCCCTGAAAGCTTTCTCCCCTTTTTTAGGACTCTAAAGAAACTTCTGCTTTTAAAATTCACCAACCGGGGCCGGGGATTTAGCTCAGTGGTTCTGCCGCCTGTCCTGCAAGTGCAAGGATCAGAGTTCGATTCCCTGTACAAAAAAAAAATAAATATAGAAATAAAATAAAGTTCACCAACCATATGGCATCTAGAGAGCCAGCAAAACATCTCTTCTGGGCATTCATCCCACTCACTGAGGATACTTCATCTGATATTTATTTGAAATATATTATGAAGGGCCGGGGATTTAGCTCAGTGGTTCCAGTGCCTGCCTCCCAAGCGCAAGGTCCCGAGTTGGATCCCAGTACAAAAAAAAAAAGAACGAGAGAAAGAGAGAAAGAAATACATTACAAGTATGTGCCAAACATTGCCTAAGTACTGGGGATATAGCCAGAACTACCTTAGACCTAGGGAACTGGAGTTCATCCCTGGACCTTACCCTACATTTAAACTATCAGAATCCTACAAAGTATTTTTTTGTATTAAATTCTTTTATTGGTACATTGTACGTATACAACACAATTACATTTCTCATTGGGAATTGTACCTTTACATAATGCATCTTGGTTCTTATTTTTTCCCCATTCCT